TCGTGTCCGTTCGCAGGGTGCCTCCGCACGCGCCCGGAAACCCTAGGGACGGGAGCCGTCATGTCCACTTTGCAGACGGGAAACTGAGGCTCAGAGAAGTCCCTGGACCGAGGTTCGCGGCCCGCGAGCGTGAGCGCTGGACCTCAGGCCGGACAGGCTGCTGTGCCGCCGAGCGCCCCGAGGTCGGGCCCTGTCCCACGGGGCGCAGACTCCAAGCTGAGGAGAGAAGGCGGAGGCAGGTTTGTACCTGCGTTGCTGGCGTTTGTGTCCCCTCCACCTTCAGCAAATTGCAGCAGCTTAGGCGTGGGACCTGCGCTCAGAGTTTGTACTCACTCCCTCTGGGCGTCCCGCGTGACCGCCACCTCCGCTCAGCCCGCCAGGGTGGGGCTGAGCGTGCCCTTACCCGGAGGAGCCCCAAGAAGTTAGCAGAAACTTCAGTTGTGACTTAGGAGGTTGAGGACCTGCACCCTGCCCCACCCTGCGTCCACTCACCGGGCTGACCCTGACCCTTCTCATCATTAGGGGATGAGGCTTGCCAGGGCCTGACTCAGAAGGCGGGGGCACTGGTGAGAACCCTGCTGGGCTGCCTCCGCGCTTCCTTGAAGCAGGTGTTGTCTGCCACCCTCGTGAGCAGGCACTGACTTGTCCTTCCTATGTCCCGTTGTTTACCCCCAGGTAAGGAATCCTGTTTCATCGATGTGAAAAAGACCCTCACATTGCACAAGCCATTCTTGCAAACCAAATTAAGCTCTTTGATGCCAGAGGAGGCTCAGAGCGCTGTGGGGGTGCCTGGAGGTGCCCGCCTGCGGCCTCTGAGGGCTCTGTGGGGTCTGAGGAAGAGGCTTTTCCTTTCTCAAACATCTCGTTAAGATCCACAGAGACCGTTCATGCTCCAGCCGAGGAGGTCCGGTCTCTCGCCGTCCCCAGCGCCGGCGGCCCCCAGCCGTGGTACAGGAGGTTTCTCTTGGAGAGCCGCAGAGCTTCTCTGGGCGAGGCTGTGGGTTGGGAGGACGTTCCAGGTCATTTGGGGACAGAGCTTTTCAGTGTGGTCCCTGCAGGTGTGCTGGTGCTGGTCACGTGGAATAATGTACCAGAGACCCAAACGGCCTTTCGCCCCAGGCCCCACACGCCGCCCCTGGGTGTCCTTGTCCTTCCCACCCAGCTCGCCCCGCCCTCACTCATCCCTCTGACCCCCACATCCTGCTGTGGTTTCTGTCTCCCCAGGTCCTGGGCGTGCACATCTTCATCAGGCCTTGGGGACGATGGCAGCCCTAGGGGATGGTCAGGAGCCCCCTCGTGTCCCATCCCCTGTCAGTCTCGAGTCCCTGAGGACACCTGGAGCCCACCACCACGAGGCCCAGCTCTACCTCCGCAGTCACCAACACGGTACTTGCCTGCCCGCCCCCCACCCCCCGCCGGCCTGAGGGTGGGACCCAAGGCAGCCCACGGGGCCCTGGGGCTCTAGCACCCTCAAGTTTGGGTCGGGGCGCAGGCCGCATTGGTTGAGGCTGGGGGCGAGCTGCATGAGCAACGGTTCCCTAGGGGCCAGCCCCGCAGGACTGCGTTTCTCTGGGGGAGGAAGTCGGGCAGAGAAGAACAGCAGCCTCAGTGCCCGGGCCCCGTGTGGCGGGAGCAGGTCAGCTCGTCTCGCTCTCCGAACCTTTGAATGTCGTGTCCAGAGTTCTGGGCAGACCGGTTTGGGCGGGGGCCCCCAGGGCCCTTGCTCCGTCCCCCAGGCAGAGTCTGGGGGTGTCCAGGTGTAGAAGTAGCTCAAGACTGGTCAGGGAGGACGTCCACGCCCCATGGCACGTGGCGCCCCCGGGCCCTGCTTGTGCTTAGACATCGGGAAGTCCCGGGGTTCCATCCCTGCCCCACGTGCCACAGGAGGCCTGGCCTCACCCCTCTTACAGCCAAGGACACAAATGAGCTGGTGACAACCAAGATGAGGGCCCAGCGTGCTCCATCCCATTGCTCGGGGTTCTGGCTCTTGGTGGTCTCGGTTGCAGTGAGGGACGTGATGGCAGCTGAGATTCGTGGAGCAGCGGCCGTGCTGAGTCCCGGGCTCTGGGCAGACCCCTCAGGCGGCACTGACAGAGCGGCCGGGGCGTGGCTTGAGGTGGGGGACGGATGGGTCCACGACTGGAACAGGAGCGCCGAGCTGCGCCCTGTGCTGTGCCTGGCTCCGGGAGCCTGCCCGGTCCCCAGCCCGTCCCTGCGGTGAGCCAGGCTGGAGCTCATGGGTGGGGTTGGACTGGGAGCTGCTGGAAGGCGCCCGGACACCACCCGGCACATACGCTGCTTCGGCCTTCGCTGGGCCAGTGCCGCTGCCTCCACGGTGCTTTGGGGGCCTTACCCGGGGCTCTGAGCCCCACGCCCCTGGGAGCCGTGCTCCCACCCTTTACACAGTCAGAACCTTGAGGCCCACACTTCACTTCCACTTTCTCCATGTCACTCTCACGACAGCTTGGCAAGGTAGGACCCCCCGTCCCCACGTTTTTGACGGGGAAACGGAAACCCGGACATGAGCCAGTGGAAGCCAGGAGGACTCAGACCACATTCGTGTGATGCGGGCCCATGCAGCAAATGGTGGGCCGTCCTCTTGGGCTGGGGGGAGGACCAGCAGGACCCAGGGCTGGGGAAGGGCTTCCTGGGAGACGTGCTGACCGAGCCAGTCCTGCAGGATAGGGGTCTGGCGCCCAGGACGAAGTCCCTGAGCCCATGCCAGGTGGGCTGCCCCTGACCTGGTCTCCACCAGCAGAGACCAACCACAGGGAGCAAGAGCCCGGAAGGCTGGGTTTGGGTCCCTTGACCTTCGTCCAAGTGCACTAAAGTGCCCAGGGCTTTGCCCACAGTGGGAGGGAGTGTGGGCCGCACAGCCAGCAGCTTCAGCCCTCCCTGTGCTGTGGCAGAAACAAGTGGGGACTGGCCCTCAGGGAGAGAGGTGGGCCGCTGGGCAGGCCCTTCTCTACACGGCACTGGGTGGGCAAAGAGGTGTGTTGGAGGGCGTGACCTAGGAGCAGGGGGTGGGGGCATTCTGCAGGCGACCCAGGGAACCCTGGGCTGGACTTGAGAGGAGGGGAAGATGAGCCCCAACCTCCCTGTGCCCCCAGGATCCCCCGGCCATAGCCCCGAGGTGCTCTCCCAGCCAGCACAGGAGGAGGAGCTGTCAGACCTAGAGCTCCGAGACGTGGAGGAGGTCCAGATGGGCGGGGATACCTGCTGGTCAGGTGAATGAGCAAAGCCTGCTCCGGGGGCCGGCCTGGGGGCACATGTACACGTGGGTGCCACTGCTTTGGGCACCATCCTGGATCCTGCTCGTCCCTGGCTCGGAGCTCACTTCCGCACCCCTCTTCCCCTCCCCCACTGAGTCCCACTCCCGTCACTGACAATTCCTGAGGCTGCGAATCACCCAGACACCTCCCCTGAGCCCCAGACCCCCATAGCCACCTGCCTTTCGGACTGTAGCCTCCCACTTAGCACCCCGTCCCCCAGTCAGCAGCCAGGGAATCATCCTGGGCCCCTCCCCACTCCCACCTGGAGATTCTGGAGGTATCGGGAGGTTCCTGGGGGCAGGGGAGCTGGGCCAAGAGGCAGGTGCGACCTGCCCTTGATCAGCCCTGGGGGGGCTCTGGAGCAGTGGCCTCACTACTGTGGGGGTCTGGGTGGTGCCCTCTGAGTCTGACCCGTGTTGTGCCCTTGTGAGGTCTGCTGTGGGCCTGGTGCCGGCCCTGTGGCACCTCTCTGCTGGTCTTGTCACCTAGGACAGCATAGTAGGGCTCCGTGGAGGGACAGACGGGGTGCGGGGTGCTATCGGCCTCTCTCATTTCTCATTTCAGATTCCGAGCTGGGGCCTGAGCAGGCTCTGTCCTTTCGCCACCTGCAGGATCCTGGAGACGCGGTGGGCCAGGACGGCGGGGCGCTCAGGACCTTTCTGAGGAGTCTGCCCCGTAGGCGTGGGGTCGGCTTTGGGCAGGAGACCGGTTTGGAGCAGCCAGCAAGCCAGCTGCCGGTGGCCATGTCCTGCCCCCAGAAGAGGGGTGCCTGGCGCATGACACTTGTGCCACAGGGAGCCTCTGGGACCGAGGGTGACCCCGAGCTGGGGGACAGCTTCGGCCGCGGCTCTGGCCTCGGGGCCCAGCAGGGCGGCGCGCGGGGCGGGAAGCCCCACCGGTGCGAGGCCTGCGGCAAGAGCTTCAAGTACAACTCGCTGCTGCTGAAGCACCAGCGCATCCACACGGGCGAGAAGCCCTACGCCTGCGCCGAGTGCGGCAAGCGCTTCCGCGGCTGGTCGGGCTTCATCCAGCACCACCGCATCCACACGGGCGAGAAGCCGTACGAGTGCGCCGAGTGCGGCCGCGCCTTCAGCCACAGCTCGCACTTCACGCAGCACCTGCGCACCCACAACGGCGAGAAGCCGTACGAGTGCGGCGAGTGCGGCCAGGCCTTCAGCCAGAGCTCCAACCTGGTGCGGCACCAGCGCCTGCACACGGGCGAGAAGCCGTACGCCTGCAGCCAGTGCGGCAAGGCCTTCATCTGGAGCTCCGTGCTCATCGAGCACCAGCGCATCCACACCGGCGAGAAGCCCTACGAGTGCGCCGACTGCGGCCGCGCCTTCCGCGGCCGCTCGCACTTCTTCCGGCACCTGCGGGCGCACACGGGCGAGAAGCCGTTCAGCTGCGGCGCCTGCGGCAAGGCCTTCGGCCAGAGCTCGCAGCTCATCCAGCACCAGCGGGTCCACTACCGGGAGTAGCAGGCGCAGGCGCAGAGGCGAGGTCGGGCCTGGAGAGGACGCGGGTCGCAGCCAGGCCTCGGGCAGGACGTGCAGAGAGCGGGCGCGGTTGGCACAGCCGGCACCCCAAGCCGAGTGTGAATAAATTCTTTTTAGTTTAGTTGTTGAAAAGCGGAGCCTTTCCTGCTTCCTGTCCCTGAGGGCCTGCCTCAGAGAGGAGTGATGGGGGGCCTGACGGTGCCCGATTTAGTCTCCTGGGGCCTCGAGGGCTATCCAAGCTCCCTGGGGAGTGAGGCTTGGTGGCGCCATGACTTACCAGGAGACACAGGTGGTATTCCCAGCTGCAGAGACCTTGGCTGCTGGCGCTCAGCCCGGTCAATCAGTCCCCTCACGGGTCTGGGAGAGTGCGTGGACTTGTCTGTCAAGCAGCAGACCTGCTGTTTGCCCCCCGTGCTTCGCGGTGGTCCCCAAAGCCAGCGGACTTCAGCAAAAGGTATGTTCTGTTTCTTAACCCTGCCCATGTGTGAAGCAGCCCAGCCTTCGCAGCCACCTGCCGTCCCAGAAAGTGGGGGCCAGGGTGTCTCCCCTCTGACAAGTGCAGGCCGTCTTCAGGTCTGCCACGTCTTCCTGGTCTCTGTCGGACTGGGCTGCGTGGGGACGGCACGTGCCCACTCCCTGGGCCTCCTAGCCCGTGTGGCACTGCTGAGTGCCCGGCCACACCCAGGGCTGCAGCACCGAGCCTCATCTCCCCAGGCCACACTCCCAGGGCCACCATGTGCTTTGGGCCGCCCTCCCTGCACCCCCACTCTGGGTGAGATCCGCTCCGGGAAGAGGGCTGGAGACCAGGCTGTCTCTGGACATGAGCCTCATGGGTCAAGGCTCCTCGAGTCTTCCTTGCTGAGGTGCAGTGGCATCCCGGGATTCGGTCCCCTTAGCCTGACAGACAAATGGCCCTGCTCCCTTCTCCCCATGCCTTCCTCTCTCTAGTACCGTAAGGCAACAAGGCAGCCTTTGGGCCGCGGGGCTGCATGGCCGTGAGCAGGGCCTCCCGGGCTTCACGGGGCAGCGGCGCCAGCCTGCAGCCTGGGCTCGGGCCCGCACCGTGACTGGACCTAGCGGGCCTCCTCACGTGCTCACTCCAAAGTCATGGCCAAGGCATTCACCCCAAAGTGAGAGAGGGAGCTGGGACTCTGCGGAGAATTTTCTTGGGGTTGTGGTCGGAAAGGGGACGCGTTCTTTGGGGACTGTGTGTTCTCTGAGAGTAGCTTCTGAGGCACCGTGTGCAGGCAGTGGCAGCTGACGCCGATGACACTCGGCCTGCACGTGTGCAGATGGCCGTACCACCCCACGCTGGTGGCTCACAGATGGGAGCGGAGCCCCTTCCATCTGCAGACCCTGGCAGGCCTGCGTGCCTCGCCCGCAAGCTGAGTGCAGTTCAGCTGGGTCGGGAGGGAGGCTGAGCCCTGTCTCCTGTAGCTGCTGCGGGCCCCACAGAGAAGTCCAAGGGAGGGGCTTCTCTGCAGGACCTTTTGTGCCTGGATACGTTTCCATCCATTTTTCACAGCCTGCCCTCCCCTTTGTCCTGACAATGTCCCTTCTTAGGATGGCTCTGTGCAGCCACCGCCTGGCGTTGGGAAGTCTGCAGATCTCAGTCAGTCCTGTGAGGCACTGGTCATAAGGCCCCTCACCTTACATCTTCTGGGACCTCGTTTCATAGGGTGTGAGAACCCACTAAGGGACCACCCGATTACATCTGGGGAGCTCGCTGAAAACCAGATTCCCAGGCCCCAGCCCAGGGGGAGACAGAGTCAGTCGGCCTGGGGTGGAGCCAGAAAATCTGGGTTTAGTTCCAGCACCCCCAGCGATGTTGACTGTGCCAGATTCGGGAACTTCTGGTCATCCAGCCCCTCAAAGCACGTGCTCTTGCTCGGGTAGTTGTCCAAGCCCTACTGAGACGCCGCCTCCGCCAACTGTTCCCAGCTCTGTCCTCGGGGCCTGTCATAACCTGACTGTCCTCACCCACAGGAAGGGCCGTCAGGATGTGAAGAAGCCGTCCCGCCCAGGGTCCGTCTCCCGTCCCCTACGGTTCTTTTCGAAGCACCCAGTTCCTTCCGCTGGTTGCGGGGTTTGTGGATTTGCTTTAGCAGTGGACGGTACTGTTCTCACCCCAGGCCACGCCAGCGTCCATCACCCCCTCCCCTAGACCGCTGCAAGAACCCACACCTCGCCTCCAGGGTTCCTCCCCCGCCCATGGACCGGAGAGAGCTTCTAGAGTCGTAAGTTAGATGCCCCTCTCTTGCTTCCCAAAACCGTTCCCACGGCCTCAGGACCCTACACACCCGGTCCCCTTGCTCATTCCCTTCCAGTCTCTGCCTCAGGGACAAGTCCCCATCGCCCCCGTCCAACCCAGCACCTCGGACAGCTCTAGGCACGCGCCGCGCCCAAGTCTGCGCCCCGAGCTGGTTCCTTGGGCTGGTCCCCCAGGCCGGTCCTCCTGGCCAGTACCCCAGGCCACTTCCCCGAGGACGGTCC